ATAAAAATTCATGTGTTTCATTTTAAATTAAAGTTGCCATTTATTTTATAGACTTTTAAAATACATTTTAGATTTGAACCATCGTACTGGCATTTAATTCATTGCCATTTGGAAAATACCACATTGCATCTACATCCTCAATGGCCACTTTAGACAATTATTTCCCGTGGTTAGCTTTCCATCAAGCTATACGGTTTAGGATTGCAACCTGAAATGGGCCAAAGTGTCATCACTTTGTATAAGGTAGCCTGGCTTTGATAACTCATCTTTTTTAAAACTCATTTGCAACTCTAGCCCAATGATACTAAATCATTGCAAATGATATAATTTCAGATTTAATGGACATTTGAGTGTAATGATACCCGCTGTCCCAGAATTATCTGTTAAACTGAGGTTTTGCTGTAGTAATAGATTTACAAAAGGTTATGAAAACAGGGAAAATCAGAATTACATATTTTAAATTTTGGAAAGGTAGCACCAATGTCTGAAGAACTGGTTGTGGGTAATATAATCCCAGAGAGGCCTCTGATATCTCTCTTTCCTTTCAGATTCAGCAAGCCAAATTCTATGAAAACATCATGAAAATTCTGAGGCCTAAGCCAGACTATTTTGCTGTTGGATATTATGGTCAAGGGTTCCCCACATTCCTAAGGGTAAAGTACCTACTCTGTGTACTTCGTCTTTAACAAATTGCAGATTTGTAGTAGCCTTATAGAACACCAATATTCTACAAGTGGAAATGGAGTTATTCACAAAGGGAGAGATTTATCTTTGTGAGGTTCTGCTGGGCAAAGGGTTTCTGTCTCGCAGCTACCTGAAATGCCATTTGTAACAATAGCGAGTGTCACATTTTCAGAAAGGGATTTTATTTATTGTGGGTTTTTTCCCATTGCTTTCAAGGTTAGGAGAAGGTTTATAGTGGGGGTAATGGAGTGATAAGGGAGCATTTAGGATTCTTACAAGACAGTCATAATTAAAGGATGGTTTATAGCTGAAGGGAATTTAATGAACAATAAAATCAACAATATGAATAGCCAAGACAATGAAGCAGGAAATCTAATGAATATTATATCTGGTGTATATTCCTTTGTAATTGTCAATTTCACAGGTGAAATTTCATATAAAAGGTTCTCACATTTATACCTTGACTATTCTCAGAAGTCTTCTTATCATTGGTAATTTGAACATACAAATCTTGCAGAAGTAAACTTACAATTTTCCTCCCTTTAACACCAATACACTTTTAAAGGCACAGTAAGAAGCAGAGAACTCTAGGATCAAATTTCCCTACTGAGATATATTAGATACCTTCAAACAATCAACCCAGAGTCAAGAAAAATGCATTGAGCAATTACATACACATCTTGGTCTTGTTGATATTTTAGAAAGTAACAGGCCTCTCTTCCCTTCCTCAGGCAGGTCTTCATAGACAATCCAGTTGATTACTATGGTCTTGATCTATTGAATGTCATATTCAACTGGCCTTTGTTGCTTTTAAGAAGAATAGTGTAAAAATGGTTGTAATGTGTAACAATGATTTTTTTTCCCAGCAAGCTCACACCCAGGTTTGTAGTCACATAAAGTATTTATCTTTTTTTTTTTTTAACAGAACAAAATGTTCATTTATCGAGGCAAGGAATATGAGCGGAGAGAAGATTTTCAAGCACAACTGATGAGTCATTTTCCAAATGCTGAAAAAATGAATACCACTACACCACCTGATGAGAAACAAAAGAACAGTGCTGTTCAATGTATCCTTAGGAGTAGGGGATATTATTATATAAGCAGAAGTAATTTGAAGTAAAAAATCCTTATTCAAAGTTTATGGAAATATAGAAAATCCTGGTTATTTAAGCCATTTCACATGTTTCCTTTTTAAGGTATAAATTGTTTTACATAATGTATAGAACAAATCCATAATTATATTTCACAAATTTGTCAAGAAACAAGGCTTTGCTATGCATTCAGTAATCAGAAATTAACTGCAATGAAACATAGGACATTCTACTTTGTTTTGGAATTAGAAGCATGTAATCTAAAAGGCTATATGAGCATTCTTGCTTCTTGTAACCAGTAGACTTCTCCTGCCCCTCTTCAGTTGGCCACTGTGGCCCACACTCTACTTCCTTTCTTTAGCAATTCCATAGCTATTAAAACACTTGAGTTAGCCAATACCATAAAGATAATACTTTTATAATATCCTAAAAAAAGTTGCGGATACCTGTATCCTGTATCATGATAGATTCATGTAAATGGTGAAATACATATTCAATCAACCCTCCCAAGAAATTAAAACTTCAACTTTAAATCATTAAATAGCCAACTCCTTGGAGTCAGGTCTGATCATACTATGTCATAAGGCAGCTTTTATCCCTGAATTTACAAATACCTTTGTCCGCCTCTTGTCTATTTTTTAAACACCATTATGTATAAGTGGCATTTCAAGTATTAGCTTCAAGACTAATTGGGGTTTTTCCTCCATTATGCTGGAATGTTCAGGTTCACTTAAGTACAGTATATCTTGAATGTGCAGCAGATACAGAAAAATTGCCACCAAAGTATGATTTATCCTGCTCAGTTTTTTTACTTGAAACATCAGATGTTGGGACTTGATTTTCTGTTTCAAACAATAGACATCTATAAAAAGATGCTCCTGCATCTCTGAAATAAGAAATCTATAATCTTAGTGTGTAATTTAAAGCAGTAAATTTCCTTTTTTCCTTTTTACATGCAGACACAGAATATGATCCAGTGCAAATATTAACAAACACACCCTGGGTCAGAATGTGTATTCTGCTTCAGAAGGAGGAAAATCCACATCACCAACACCTTGCAACATCACTAAATTATGCATCATTACATCTTTTTGCTGACCAGTCAAACTCAAAAACAGTTTGTGGAATGCTGTGTTACAGGACTATGTTGCTAAACCTTGGGACCTCTAGCCCAAATTTTGGCTTTAGAACAGAATACTTCTGCATTGCAACTCATCCTTGAGGACACAATGGTGGTAATATATAGGAACACCTGTTTTCTTAGAATTTCCACTAGCTTAATTTAGGTAGCACGTTTCTTAGTCTCCTACTTAGCGAATCATGGCATGATGTAGCTTGGAAGGTAGATAGAGACTGGCAGCGTGAAAGCCCACTGCATGTACTAATTGAAGTTGGATGAATTCTGAGTCTCTGAGTTAAATGCTTGTCGGTTCTCTTATTGAAATTCAATAAAGGCAGAAGGCATTTATTCTTCATTTCCCTACAGTAATTATACACGACTATAGCTCAAATAGAAATGCTGGAGAAAGGCCATAGTTTCTAAGAGATTTGAAAATGGTATGATAGAGATGTTTCTGTTCTCATTGTATATCCTCATTGCTTGAAGACCTGGTTTATTCTGTTGTAATTCTTTAATCTCAAGTACTCATCAGAATAATAGTCCAATGTTATCTAAAAGTGATTGGTAGGAATGATCATCATCACCTGCCTCCGATTCTCTATGTGGACCTGATGGGGAATTGAATCAAGGTCTTCTGCATATACCCCATCTAAGCAGCTATTGAGACCTGGCCCAATAAGACAAGCATGGCCACCACAGGCAGTGATTCCTCTCTTATGCATTTTTGATCCTCTGAAAAGCTGCTATTCATCTCACACATCATACAGGAAGGCTTCTGAAGGAATGATAAAGAGTTACTGCTTAAAAACATAAATGGAACAACTATACATGAACCCTTTACCTTGAGAACACTGTCTTCTTCTAATGTGATATTCAGTACTTCAGAGTGAACAAGACAACTGCAAACTCCTTTTCTCTATCACAACATAAACAACTCTTATTAACAATATATTCCCATGTCCATCTCACAGAAATATAGTACTGTATACCAAACTCTACAGTGTTAGCTGAAGTCTTTGCACCATATAATTTTAGTGTACTGCTTTGTAAATCTGCAATAATGCATCTGAAGAATAAGATGCCTTAAAGTAGAAGCATAAGTTAAACCACTCAGACATTTCCATGTGAGGACTGTGCCCCAGGTCAAACCAACTCATGATGAGAGTTAAGCTTATTTATTTCCAGCTTTGCTGTAATATATTTGAAATCACACTTAAAGCACCTTTCTTTTTGCTATTCTGAAGCTTTGGAGAGTATGTGGATAGGCCAGATTCCTATCGGCAGAAACTCTTACATTGTCTCTTCCTGATTCCTGGGCTCAACCTATTGTCCCAGCTCCCCAAAGAGGATTCACATGTATAACATATTGCTGAATGCTATTATTTCACAGCTCCTTAAATGTAACAAAGGAATAGTGCTTTGTTGGTTCTACAGCTTCCTCTTTATAGCTCCTGACTAGGGTTTTTTCGACATTACCAGATATCATGCACAAAACATGAAATAAAATCCTGAATGGGATAGCACTGGTCAAAGGCAGTGTTTTACACTTTCCAGGTGATCAGCTAAACATAGTATTGATTGGCTTGCTGTAGGTTGTTCAGTCTGTCAGTGATTGGTGGTAGTGAAGACAAGTGTGGGTCAGCTTCAAACTACTCTTGAGGAATTGGGTTGGAATTCAGTGGCAGTGTAGTAATGCCCCTTGGAGAAGGAAGGAAGGAAGGAAGGAAGGAAGGA